TAAAACAGCATAGTGTTTGGCACTAGAAACTATTTAGTCTGCATTGAGTGATTGACTGAGTTCACGAGGGAGACTGTTATTCTTTTAGGGTGATATGTGTATGTATAATAAAAAAAAGTCTACATTGGCTCCATGGAATTCTTGAGTCTGAAAAAAGCTATGCTGCTGACCACACAGACTCTTCCTCTGAGCCATATTTTCAGCAATATTAGAGCTATTAGAGTGGGGTTGGTCAGGGAAAGTGGTGCTGATAGGACAGAACCTGCCCTTTGAGTAGTCCTAAGGTGACTGGAACATTCTGAGAAGATGGACATTGTATTGTGAATCTTAACTTATGTGAAGATTCACTGATCAGATACATATGTGGTTTTATATGGGCCAGGTGTGCTCTTAGCTTTCAAAATCTAGTCTTTATCATTACAACAGCCCAGTGAGTTACATGGTTTGCTTATTTTTTCTATTTACTAGATAAGAAGATTGAAGATCTGGTAGTTGAGGCCATGTAGCTCTAATTGGAGGAAAGGAGTCAGGGTTAGGCTTAGGCTTAATTAAATCAGCATGGTCACAGCATTCTCAGTGGACCACTTTCAGGATGAGTCATGTCTGCTCTTTTCTATTCTCCACCATTGCGAGGCTCACCACAGCAAGGAAGACATGAGCCAACAATTGGTTGCCCTTTTCTTCTTCTCTCCTTTTTTCACAGCTTCTTTGCTGTTGTTGTTGATTTTTTGTTGTTGTTTATCTGTTGTTTGATTTTCAAGACAGGGTTCCTCTGTGTAGTTTGGAGCCTGTCCTGGAACTAGCTCTGGAGACCAGGTTGGACTTGAACTCTCAAAGATCTGCCTGCCTTGACTCCCGAGTAGGGGGATTAAAGGCATGTGCCACCACTGCCTGGTCTTCCTGCCTTGACACTCCTCCATACTACATAATCTCATCTCCTCGGTGGGCATGTTTTCAGCAATCGGTATAGATATTTATATTAGTAGGAAACTGAGCTAAGGATTGTGAAATTTTGATTGCTGCATGCACTCTGCATCTAGTTTGCTCTGTGATCTTTGGAAAAATCACAAGGTCTGTGGCCATATGTTTCTTCACCTATGTACCAAAGAGGTTGGCCTAGGGATCATGCTAAGTTTCATGGTGTTAGATACTATGATTCCACAATATAAAGAAACAAACCATTTTAGCAAACGCTTTGAAAATGTTTATAAAACAACTTAAAATGATGGATCCAGTTTCGACTCCCTGAATTTCAAAAAGCAAACTCTTCAGTTGTTTTCTCACATTCTTTGTTTACAAACATGTCCTTAGTTTCGCACAGGGGTGAGGAAAGCTTCACACTGACTGACCGAATTTTACTTTTAAAAATTATTTTATATTGTGTTATTTTGTTTAATCACAATTTAAATGTCACAATACAAATCAAAATAGTCCAAAATAGTGCAAAGACTGTCAAGATTTGTTTTAAAATTCACAGGAGCTTCCTGTATTTTCACAACTATTTAACATATGCCAGATGGAGAAATAATGCATTGCTTCCTGTGGAAATGGGGCAGTTAGCAAGGCAGCTTTTCACACATAGGAATGCTGTCTTTTATCTCTGAACCACCCCTGGATTTGGAAAGGGAAGCATCATGCTGGCTCTGCAAAGCTTTCAGGGCAGGAAGTTATAATCTGCATCAGAGAAGAGCTGATTTAACCTTGGCTATGTGTAAATGCTCTTATAGGTTTTGGGGGATTTGAGAAATGGAGGCTGCCTGCCCAGCTTAAAGGGATTCGACTTCTTGGAAAGCAAACAGAGGCTGCTTGTTTGACTATAGAGATGGGATGTTGAGGATGTGAACTGGGGTTTAGGTCAAGTCATCAGCTTGGAGCTATCCAGACCTGCATGTGAAACCACTGACACTTTCCTGAAGCTTGGAACCAGACCTCTTGCCTCAGGATCTCTGTGTAACTGGCCACCTCTTTCTGCTAGGGTGTCTCCTCTTTTTGTTGCTATTTTATTACAACATAAGAGGCTCTACCTTCCTGCCCAGCCCTTTTGTGTGGGTGCAACCTGACACTTGAATGCTTCCCATGCAGTGGTCCGGAACGCACCCCGATATCAAGAGTACACTTCATTCATTCTAGCCTTGACTAGCCCTCATACATTCTGCACAATGTTCTTCCTCTTCAAAACATGTAGAATCTGGTCATGTGGCTACATCTCCATTGCTTCATGGATAGCTCTAGCTACCTACACCACCAGTGCCTTCAGTTGTTTTCTACCTGCTGCCTTGCTGATTCTCCATCCAGGGTCCCATGATCCTTCCCAGTATAAAATCCCCCTTGAACTTAGAGTTTTTATAAACTATGTATTTAATTGATTCAGAGGACTCTGTGGGTTTAAGCGTGGTACCACTACATAAGAGTCCCCCTGAGATCTCTCATGTAGTTGCAAGAGATGAAGGTCAGGATGAAGACTCCAAAACAAATTCGTACATTTGAATAGCTCCTTAGTATGCCCAAGTTGGATGGTGTCTTAATTAGGGCCTCTATTGCTGTGAAGATGCATCATGACCATGGCAACTCTTATAAAGGAAAACATTTAATTGGAATGGTGGATTACTGTTTCAGAGGTTCAGTCCATTATCATTATGATGGGAGCATGGTGGTGCACTCTGGAGCTGAGAGTGCTATGTCTTGAAGGTAACAGGAGGTTGACTGAGACACTAGGTGGTATCCTGCGCACAGGAAACCTCAAAGCCCACCCCTACAGTCACACACTTTCTCCAATAAGGCCACAGGTACGCCAACCAAGACACACCTCCTAACAGTGCTACTCCCTGTGAGATTACAGGGGTCATTTACATTCAAACCATCTCAGATGGAAACAACTGCTCTTACCTGACAAATCCAGACCTCAGTTTTCCTTCATATGATTCCCAGGCTCTTTACCACTATACATGGCCTTTCTGTATGGGCTCTCTGATCCTGATGGTCAGGATCTGGGTCAGAAATTTCCAGGGTCATGACCTCTTATTCAAGGAATTGAAATAGAAGCTTACACAGATTTGCAAGGTTAGCGAATATCTTTATTAAAAACAAATATAAGACATTCAGATATACTTTCAAGAGTGGAAAAAGTACTCAATAGCCATGATTATTGTTGGGGCTTCCTATTATGGGGTTCGTAATCATAGAAGAGTGAAAGCCAAGAGATATAGAAAGGGTAGTTCTCTGTTTTAATTGCTGTATTAAGTTATATAAACTTAATTTTTTATTGTCCATGTCTCCTCCCACAACATACCTGCTTTTGAGCATATGCATGCTCAATTTTTCATAGACATAAGAAAGTAAAAGGGGAATCTCCTAAAATTTCACTTGTAAGGCACAGTTTGCCTTATTATGCATATGTTTAAGACTAGATAAAGCTGAATTTGCTTTGTTATCCTTGTATCTGGATTTATTGGAAATGCATATGAATAGAATTGAACTATATTGGTGGTGATTGATGATAAGAGAAACTTATGCCATTGTTGGGAGTAGGGTGTGCATAGAGCTTTATGCAGGTGGGAAGTCATAGGTTGCTAACGGGTTGTGGGGAAATGATTCTGAGAGCAATGTGTGGAGAGTACATGCAGCATAGCTTGTTAAACCATCCTCTGCCTACCTCAGCTCCAGTGGCTGAACTTCCAACATGGAGTCTGTGATGGTGATTTTAAACTGTCATATTTATAACTTGAAATAACTAATTTAGAATTACCCGAGAAAAGAATCTCAAGGAGTAATTATCTGGATTACACTGATCAATGAGTTTGTCTGTGAATGATTTTCCTAGACAATTGAGTGTGTGAGACAAGTTCATGGGTGGGGCCCTAGACTTTGTAAGAGTAGAGAAAGGCTGAGCAGTAAGTACATATGTTTTCATCCTACCTATGCTTTTGACTGCGGACAGAACTAGTGCCTCAAGTCACTCCTTTGACTTCCCTAAAAAGATGGACTGTAACTTGAAACTATGAGCTGAATGAACCCTTTATCTACTAAGCTATTTTTTAAATATCTATTTTATTTTTATTTATTTTTTATTTGATGTTTGTGTGTGTGTGTATGTGTGTGTGTGTGTGTGTGTGTGTGTGTGTGTGTGTCTTTGTACAGGCGGAGGGACCATCTATTATGAGTGGTGTCACTCCTGGGCTGGTAGTACAAGAAAGGCTCAGCAAACCATGGAGAAGATGGCAGTAAGCAGTGTTCCTTCATAGCCTCTGCATCAGTTACTGACTGTGGGTTCCTGTCTGGAATTTCTGTCCCGACTGCCCTCAGTAATAGAGTGTTACCTGAGAGTTACAAGGTGGAATAAACCTTTTCCTCCCAAAGTCACTTTTGGTCATGGTATTTTATCATAAGAGTAGAAACACTAAGATACTCCTAAGCTACTACTTAAAGAGATACATACACGCATGCATGTGCACGCACACCACATATACCACACACATTGTCTTAAGGACTAATTGAGACAATTCATGTAATCCCCAGTATCAACCTGCTACATTTTTAGGGGCCACAGTTATGTGTTCTAAAAACAAGGCCATGTTATGGTTCAGTCCTAGAGACTGTCTTAAATTCTGTAAGTTAAAGTTAAGTTTTTCTGTGTAGCCATTGTGTGCATTCTTATTCTGCTATAAGTAGGTAGACGGATAACAGATGATAAACAGATAGATAGATAGATAGATAGATAGATATTCTTCACAGTCTGCTATTTGTTTATCTGCATGTGAGAACTCACAGAAATCTTACTTAATACAATCTTTCTTTTTAGTTTATTTTCCACTCAGAAAAAAAGTACCCTTTGAGTCTCTGACAACCAGACCCAGATGAAGTGATCTGTTCATTTTTGATACAATTAATAAAGAATGTCTCGTACAGAGAGTTCTGTGGTGTTCAGAAGATAGACATACTTTATTAGTGTTTACCTTGAATTGTGTTCTTCTTTCTTCAAGATGACTGCTATTCAGACAATAGAAGGTTCTATTTAATTTTTATTTTTCTCTTCTATAGATCTTTTGTGAAACAACCCCCTTTAATATACTGAAGATGATTCTTTATTTTTTTTTTTGCCACACCATGGTGCACGTCCTGTCCACTGCAGTGTGACATGTGACTTTAATTCTGTTTGATCATCACTGAACAAACACATTTTTTTTCAGCTCTCCATCTTTTGGTGGACTGATATACCCTGTAATGGATTTTCCTTGTCCTATTGTGCTCTTCTATTACAAAATTAGTTAAAGATCCATTCTTACAAAATTGTGTAATTCTGTTCCTCTGTGTTATTGTCTGCCTAACCATAAATCTGGCATTTACAGTGGTGTTGTCTTCATTCTTCCTTTTTACCCACATCACCACCCATTCATGTTCAAATGCTCAGAGGCCCACTCCAAACTCTCCAAGGGGGCCGTTGCTCCCTTGGCTCGGTGTTGCAAGCCTCCCTGCCAGCTTGACAAAGACAAGTCCAAGAAAACAGTGGCGTTGCGTGAAGTTGTTTGTGTTCTGTAGTCCTCTTCAGGTGTCATCTTGTCTACAAATGTGCCTGTTGCGGTCTTTTTTTTTTTCCTGGCTGACAGCTGCTTGCAACATGTAGTGCTTGAGGACAATTGAGCAAGCCTTCGCAATGCAGCTGACAGTACAGAAGCTCCAGTGTCGGAAGGCATTCCTTTTCATCTGGAACAATGACTGCAGGACAAGCTGCTTGCATTTTCCAGCCTTCTATTTGCAGCTATGGAGGAGTTTCTTTAACATCTGCAGGGTCTTTCCAGCACACAAGGATGCACTGAAGCTGAAAGATAGTAATAGTGTTCTAAACGCCATCTTCATTGGACAGAATTTAGAGAGTACATGTCCCCCTTTCCTTAGTCCCAGTAACTCACAAGGTCGAAATGTTTCCACATGCTTCAAGTTGTTCTCATCAGTTTCCTGAAGGGAAAACAAAAGAACTCGGCAACTGATTGTGTGACTTTAGGAGTCACTGAACCACAAGCTCACACTTGATCATGACCTCTGCTTGGGTTCAACACCGAACATATCAGCGTCTTAGAAGTCGAAATTCAGATGAAGGCCTACTAAACAACTTTACTTGAAAATAAATCACCTTAGTACAATTTAATTTAAAAAAAAATCTCTGAAAGTCGTTGCTGCAGGTGCATGCTAAGCACGTTGCCTGTCGGTGCAGAAACAGGATCCACCATGCAGCTTGCGATCAGGTTGTTCCACAATCCAGCTGTAGAAAAAGAAAAACAGAGTTTTCTTCACACACCTGTACCCAAGTCCATTCCAAAACAAGAATATAACAGGACAGTGTCTGGGTTTGAGAATCAATGGAATCAATCAATCAGGTAAATAGAAGTTGTTCTCCTTAACTTCCGCTCAGCAGGAGGCCATTATCCACTAGACCAATGTAAAAAGTGCTACAATGTGTGTATCAAAGGTCCTTAAAAACCCTGGCTTAGAGGAACATTTCAAAGCACATTACAGAATTAAAGGCATGATGAAGGGGTTATTTTATCCTGAAAACCATTGCTGTCTTTTCATTCATTTATCATTTCAACAGACTGGCTAAGCACTGAGTACATGATAAACTAGAGGCATCTGATGAAGCCAAGGTCCTTAATATTGAATAAATTATATTTCAAAGAGGAAAATTAGGAAACAAATGAAAATTGTGACAGTTCTTACCAAAAACCAGAGTTCTTCTAAAACATAGAGAACAGAAAGGCTCACTGTGCCTGGAGACTCAAAAGTTCATGAGAAAATTAGGTCTGTGGTTAGTCTGAGGAGAGGCAGATCTTCCAAAAACTGCAAGAGGATGAACGTGCTTGTGAGAGAGAAGAGAACAGACAAAAACACAGGTGGGACATAAGTAATCTCCAAACAGAAGAGGAAGTTATGGCACCAAAGAAGATGTTCCAGGCAGGGTCTTAGGGAAGGAGGGGTTCAGACACAGACACTGGTATCTGTTATTAAAAAGAATTTCTAAAAGACAAGACCAGGAAACATACTCATTCATAAGAACATTGTAAGACTGTTCTGTAGAAAAGTAACTATAGAATTGACATAAAGGGTGAGATCGGTGACTGACTAGCTGAGAAGCAGCTGTTTTTCAGAAAGACTCTTCCATTGAATAGCATATCCCTGCCAGTAACATGGTAGGCTGGCTGGTTGGGGTTTCTGCGCTGCCTACTTTCCCACAGCTGACAAGCCCCCAAAGAAAATCACACAGAGATCTCTATAAGTTATAAAGCTGATTGACCCATTAGGTAAGGCTTCTTATTAGTTCCTGTAACTTATATTAACCCATTATTCTGATCTATTTTAGTCATATGGCTCTGTACCTTTTTCAGTTGGCAAGTCACATTCTGCTGCTTCGGTGATCTAGGTAGTAGTGGGAGGAATCAGCTTCCTCCTTCCCAGAATTCTCCTGTTTTCATTGCATCACCTCTACTTCTGCCTGGTTTTCCTGCTTATATTTCCTGCCTGGCCAATCAGTGTTTATTTAAAACATGATTGACAGAATACAGACAATTTTCCCGCACCACCTGCCCTGTATTTTCTTTAGGGATTTTTGTTAAAATTTTGATAGAGGAGGGTCATCTGTCTATTGTTACTTTCATTGGTTAATAAAGAGACTGCCTTGGCCTTTTTGATAGGCCAGCCCATAGGTGGGTGGAGTAGACAGAACAGAATTGTGGGAGAAAGAAAGCAGAGGCAGGCAGACACCATGACTCTCCTCTCCAAGACAGCTGCAGCTTAGAATCCTCCTGGTAAGCAACCACCTCGTGGTGCTACACAGATTATTAGAAATAGGTTAGATCAATATGGAAGAGTTAGCCAATAAGAGGCTACAGATAATGGGCCAAGCAGTGTTTAAAAGAATATAGTTTCCGTGTAATTATTTTGGGTAAAGCTAGCTGGGCGAGTGGCAGGACGTAGCCCGCCGTTCCTTCTACAAAATTTCATAGGTGAGGAGTCTACATCATTCCTGCCTCTTCCTCTTTCCATCCAACTCTTTTCTTGCCCTTTTTTCTTCTTCTTTAGTTAGTACTGTAATATGTACACAAAGAGACAAACAGATACAGACATACAATATAGGTATATGTGTATATATGTACATATTATGTGTGTGTGCATGCATGTACATGCAATTGCCTGAGTCCAAGACCATTTAGAATTGCCGGTATGTGCATGTGTCCAGGTTAACCACTAGAAGTGGACAACCTGTTATTCAGTTGTCCTTCTCTGGATGAAACTGATGCTCCCTCTCTCAGAAACAAATGGTCACCTGCAGCTCTTTATCTAGAGGTGGAGCCATGAGGAATTCCTCTGTCCATGTTGGCATGGCACTTGGTGTCATTATATAATTTACTCAACAATATTGTTGAGACTGCATTGGTGCAGCTTTCTTCCCACATCTAGAAGACACTAAGTGGCAGCAGGAGTCCTGCTTCTCTAGCTCCTATACTTTTTCTGCCCACTTTGCTGTGATTTTCCCTGTGTCTTGGCTTAGGGCTGATATTGCAGGTGTTTCAGCTGGGTTTGAACACCCCATAGTCTCTCATTCTTTGCAATTTGATGTTTTGTGGATCTTTGTAATAGTCTCCATCTATTACAAAACAACAACAACAACAAAAAGCTTCTTTGATGAAGGCCGAGAGTTTATCACCTATGGGTATACGAGTAAGTATTTAGAATATATTAGAGATTGTATTGGTTTAGGACACTGACAGTAGTTGGTTCTCTCTTGTCTAGGACCCCTCCAGCCACAAAGAGTTAGCTAGGTTGACAGTGTCAAGCATGACGTTCCTCTTGCTGAGCAGGCCTTTAGTCCAATTAGATGGTTGTTGGTGACCTCCGTGAAAAAAGTGGCAGTACTGTAACTGAGTATCTTTCTGGTAAAGCCATTGTTGAAGTTCATGGAATGTTCAGCTAGGTAGGACTACCGGTTGCTCCTCTACCTTGGCAGCTTGCACAGCACCTTCTAGTACTATGCGAGTCAGTCCTTAGGTATGCTCCCAGGTAGGTTCCAGTGTGGTTCCTCTAAGTCCTGTGCCCAAGGTATGAGGTATCTTCAACAATGCAGTCTTACCTTCACGTTCTAGATAGAGGGCAACCATAAGCAATGACAATAGCCAAGATTGTTTTGGGAGAGTCTTGTCTTCGTCTGACCAACAAGTATTTTAAGTAAGCTTGTAAAAATAGTATGTTTTGTATGAGTTTTTCCAACATCCTTATGGTTATCTATCACTCCTTTGCTCTCACCCTACATTGCCTTTCCTCCTCCACCCCACAGGTACAGCCTTCCCCCACTATTTCCATAATCCCTACCACAGCACCTGCCTTCCACTGGTAAGAAATCTAAATTCTGTGTTGAAATGAAGCTGAAGAGGAAGAAAACCGAAGTATTCTTCAATTACAGGGAAGAACCCACTTTCTTCATTTGGTTTTCTAACCTGAATTAGAACAGTAATTAAGAAAGTATATTTTTAAATATCCCTCTATGTTTTTAAATAAAATAATTTCTACTAATTGTTCAGTTAGGACTGTTCAGAAATGCTGAGTATCACTGTAATGCTTTAAATATTTAATTTCTTCTCATTTCTTCTCTCTCTCTCTCGTGTGTGTGTGTGTGTGTGTGTGTGTGTGTGTGTGAATGTAGTCTCCTACATGCCATAGCACACACACAAAGGCCAGAGGACAGCATGTTGATGGTAGTTTTCTCCTTCTACAATATATTTCAGGGATCAAGTTCAGGTCATCATGCTTGCTTGACAAGAAAACTCGAAATGAAACATCTACTGGGCCCTGATATTATTCATTTGTTTTTCAGTGTTGTAAGTAGAACCCAGGGCCTTGAGCACACAAGGGCAATGATCCGCAGAGCACTGTAGATCAACGCAATTTATTCTTTTTAATGCTCCAAACTAGCAGTTGGGAGGTCAGAAAACTTCTCGCTAAAAAACTGGCGAAAAGTCTCCAGAACCTGACACTTTCCTCAGGGGACTCAATTCACTAGACAACTCATAAGGGTTATTTAATCCCTTGGGTACTCTAAAAGGCTTTCTTTTTATTTCAGTCCATCGTTTACTTCTTTTCAGAATCTTGCCTCTTTCATGTGTGTTGTTCCTCTCGTCTTTGTGAGATAGATCATGAATTTGTGAAATTGGTAAAGAGAAAAAGGAACAAGTGGATGTTTTTATTTCTTAATCAAATGTCATGAGAAAATATCTAGAATAATAGGCTTTAAGTAAAAGAAAAACTGCGGTCTGTATCTCAGTCCAGTTTTGCATTAGAACAATGAGTTGTCTGCCTAGTGCCTTCACATGTGCTGAGAAACCAAAGGAAGCAAAGAAAAACCTTGGCTATAACTTCTGATGCTGAGGTGAGCTTACCAGGAAAAAGAAAAGCATTTCAGGCCCTGAGAGGGAATTTTCTCCTTGTTTCTGAGCCAGGTCCTAGCATCAGTGATAGGATTGAATTCTCTGGAGCCTGCTCCTTTGTGGTTTGCCGGGGTGTGCCCACGTGAGAAGTGCAACTTGAAGCATCAGAGTGATGATAGATACAGACTTCAAGGGAAGAGGAGAAAGCTAAATAGTGCTCTTTGTTTTCAAAGTGCGTGGTACCGAGAGAAGCTCTTCTATAAGCACCATGCTATACCTCCTAGGGCAGTTTTGGGGCTTTTGGACCCAGGCTGTGCTCATAGGCTCACAAGTGGACAGTGCTAATGCTGCAGAGAGCCACACCCTGAGTGTTCCCCAACCTCTCCTCATGATGGACTCTGAGAGCCATTATGTCCTCATGAAGAATCTAGTTCAGGCAGTGGGATGAGAGCAACTTAATCGTATCACACCATAAAAACCCTATTCAAGTGGACTCCCAGTGGCTGTGGACCTGATAAATTGGATGAACATGATTAGTTCTTTGTTTTTCTTTTTCTTTTGCTCCTTGCCCTTCCCAGTTATGGCTCAGAAATAACCTGAGGGAAATAAACCAAAATACAAGCAAAGGCGCATGCTCCAACAGATGGATTGAAAGAACAAGGCAAGGACTGGCACCCAGAAAAGAGCATGCTAATTCAACACAGGGGTTGTAAGCTCCCAAAGTTTGCATAATGAGGACACTTCAGGCAGAGTTCTCAGCAGATGTGACAAGATTCAGCCACACGATTTTCATTAACGGCCTTGGGAATCCTGCAGTGGAAACCTCAGCCCTGCACTGAGAATTCTG